AATCTTAAATTTATAATCTTCACACCTTCCAAACATTCAGGATAACCACACATTTACTGTACATATTATGGAAAAAAAATATTTAGGAACTTAAATCCCAAAGACAAGAAAAAATGTTTTTGGTAAATATTCTGGTTAAAATACACAAATTACTATTTAAAGATCAATAAACCTGAGCCTTGTAGTTTAGCTGCAGGTAAACGAACTCAAAATGGGCTTTTACAAAACAAGTATTATTTCATAATTTCACTTCAATGCAATTTTTTTCTTTATGGTAAATTTCTTGTGACTCTCAGGTTTTTACAAAAAGCTTACAGCTGATTATTTATTCATTAAACAGGCGCTAAAGAGTGGCCAGTTTCAAATCTCCTACATATGAAGGCTATGATGCAACATTTGCACCTCTCTAACACTCTTGCACGCTCTTGCAAAATAAAGATATTTTTAAGGTCGGAGAGTTGAGGAAGTTTCAGGGAGAAAAATCCAACTGTTCTTTTGTGCTCGCCGAAAAACTGAATGAAACATTTGGATTATTTTACGTATAATCTCAGATATTCTCACCCAGACGACCAGGCTTTCACTTCAGTGGCGTCACGTACTGCACACAACGTCGCTGCATGTTGAATCCTATTATCTCAGCAAATCTTTTTATTTTTTTTTACCTAAACTGGATTAGTGTGGTTCTTAAAGTCGAACTAAGAGCCGTTTAAAAACAAAAGGAGCTTGAATGTGATTACAGCTGAGCTGGAACCTGATTTTATTTTATTTTATTCTTAAGTCATTTCTTTTTGTGAGTCTCTAAACTTTTTTGCTCCTACATGTTGCAATAAAAAACAAAATACCTAAAACTAAGATAAGGAAAAAACATTAGTTATAAACATCTATGTTTTCAGAAACATAAAGAGACGATTTATTTCAGTGTGTGGGTTGAGGTGTCCGACTAACTACTTACGATAAAGAGCACCATCCAAAGAAACGCTCTCCTTCTCATTATTAACAGTTCAGGGGTAGCAATAATTAATACAGCCCATACGTACCCAGCAGTGCTTAATTTGTAAACCAATTCTTGCACTCTGGTATATTTTAACAGGTTGTTAAACATCTACCTTTACCTACACATGTAAACGGTTGATTCAGTAATTATTTTAGAGAGCAGCAAGAAGTAGCCTGACCAACAGCTCTCCCTGTGTGAACAGAGCACGCTCTGCTTCTCTCAAGCATCCTTGCACCGCTCCAGTATCTCCAGGGCCGCTGCCTTCATGTGCTTCACTTCTCGGTTGTTTAGTTGTACAATGAGAATTATTTTTAAAATTAAAGTAAATTGGACTGTTTTCGACATTTTGATCGCTGTTATTTTGACAAAATTTGTGACGTTGTTTTGAAAGGTGACTTACGTCACGTGATTACCCATCAAACATTTCTCTTGTTGTGTTTTTAATAAATTAATCAAAATTATATTAATGACCCACTTAAACTGTAAAACAGATGTGCAGTTTAGTTATATTTTTGTGTTTTTAATTAAATTGCCCATGTCTGTACTTTTAGGGGTGGAGATTATTTTAAGGGTAGAAGCAGAAATGCTAACTTGAAGTGGCAGCTCTGATGTGATATTAGGAAGTTTGTAAGTGGCTGTTATTAAAATGAGTGTTTATGTAATTATTTTCAGATTACATGTCCAATATAGGTTTTATTCGTTTAAGGCAAATTTGTTCATAACTTTATTATTGGTAAGCCTGAGAGTTGCAGGAACAAAGCAAACAATTACCGGAATGTATCCTGTCAAAATAAGAGAGTTCCTTGGCTCAAATTAAGCCCCGGTACTCAGTATGTACACAGTTCCCAGTACATTCAAGGTTTTTAACCTGGCTGTACTCACTCCCTTCTTGGTTCTTGGTACCAGTTCTGTTCTTACCCAGTTCATATCCAACAGTTTGGACCCCGCATGTACCCGGTTTATGTACTCTGTATGGAACATTTTAAGACGCACCCTGGGACTTATCGAGTACATAACCTGGGAACTTGGGGGTGTGCGCATTAGGATGTGTTGAGTATGTACTGACAAAGGGTCTTAGTGCCTTAATATGACTAAATATTTTATTTTAATTTGTCAATGTTTTTGGGGGTGGGGACAAATACGGAAGACGTGAAACATTAAAAGTAGAAAAATGATTTGAAGTGTTCAACGTTTGTGTTTACCACAGAGCTAATTGTCATCTTTGACTTATCTCTATTCTACATAAACACTGTTGTTTGTTTGTTGTTTGTTTGTGAATCATTTGAAATGAACTTTTCTTTCTATAATATCTGTTCTCAGGTGGAGCCTTGTGTCCGAACAGCAGCGCCCTTCAGGAGGTGCAGAACTGCAACGAACACCCTTGTATGGTCTACCACTGGCAGACGGGGTCCTGGGGCCCATGCACGGAGGACCCCTCAGCCTCAACACTCAACACCTCTGCAGGGTCCAGGGTCAGTCCCAGTGGGGACGGGTCGGGTCTCTGCTCCATGGGGGTACAGACTCGAAAGGTCATGTGTGTCCGGGTCGGCGTGGGACAGGTGCCACCGAAGAAGTAAGCTGCTTCCTGTTTCATTAGAACAAGGTCAACTAGAGAAATTACATTTCCTGCGAAAATGCAGAGGCTCCTCTGCTTACTGCAGAGGAACCTGCTGAAAAACAGCTGAACTTAACTAAAAACAAACATGCTGAAATGTAGCTGAAATGGAAAAACGAGCCTAAATTAGAAGAAGAAAGCAGAAAGAACACACATTTGTTGAAATTTGTTTAAATATTCAAAAATTAGCAGAAAAACAGTTTAAATTTGCAGCAGGAAGCTGAAAGCAGCTGAAGCAGAACAAAATGTGAAAGGAGCAGTAAAAGGTTGTAAACAGATGTAAATATCTGAAGGATGGAAAATGAGCTCAGTTCATTTTCTAAGAGAAAAAAAAAAGTCAGAAAAGGCTAAATATTTCAAAAAGCTAAAGTTGCACCAAAGTCATAACAGGATTGTCCTGAAAGAGCCGAACGTTTTGATTCACTTTAGAGTGACCGCTTCATATTATCCATGGAGTTCAAGGAGTTATCAAGGAGTTTTGTTAAAAGCCAGTTCTCTGAGATATTTTGCTAACAGACACCTGTCGCTCTAAGAGCTGGGTTGTTTCAGTCAAGGGGTCCATGAGGCACTGAGTAATGGTGTAAGTCCAGTTTGTTAAAGCAAAGCAGGAGTCAGGAATAAAGGGACAGATTAATGAGGTGTAAGTGGTGTGTGTGTGTGTGTGGGGGGGGGCGGTGGTGCAAAAACAACATGTCTAACTGAGCTGCTTAAGTAAACCGTGCACGCTCTCATGAACTCCCAGTTCATATCTTCTTCTTGCAGACGAGCACAGATAAATAATCTCTGTCCCTGAAAGCCTAATTAACCCTCCGTTTGGGCGCAGGAAATTTCTCATTGATGATAATGAGAGTAATTAAATGGTATTGATACTTTGAGGCAGTTTAATCACGAGGCAGACGAGAGACAGGAAGTTTGCCGTTAACGCCGAGGACCACACGGCGCGAGGCGAATTCAAATCACACCTTGGAGTTCCACTTCCACACCTGTCAGGAAGTTCTGCTCCACTGATCAGCTCGACAGCAGAAGAGCAGACCTGCCGGAGTGACATTTTATAAAAAATAAAGATGGTCCTGGTAGTCTGACATAAAGATGGTAGTCTGACATAAAGATGGTCCTGGTAGTCTCACATAAAGATGGTCCTGGTAGTCTCACATAAAGATGATCCTGGTAGTCTCACATAAAGATGGTCCTGGTAGTCTCACATAAAGATGGTCCTGGTAGTCTCACATAAAGATGGTCCTGGTAGTCTCACATAAAGATGGTCCTGGTAGTCTGATATAAAGATGGTCCTGATAGTCTGACATAAAGATGGTCCTGGTAGTCTCACATAAAGATGGTCCTGGTAGTCTCACATAAAGATGATCCTGGTAGTCTGACATAAAGATGGTCCTGGTAGTCTCACATAAAGATGGTCCTGGTAGTCTCACATAAAGATGGTCCTGGTAGTCTGACATAAAGATGGTCCTGGTAGTCTGACATAAAGATGGTCCTGATAGTCTGACATAAAGATGGTCCTGATAGTCTGACATAAAGATGGTCCTGACAGTTTGACATAAAGATGGTCCTGACAATCTGACATAAAGATGGTCCTGATAGTCCAACAGAGACAGGATGCTTCCCAGACAGCTTCATCAGCGACAGGTTGAGATGTGCACGAGGCCGGTGTGATTCATTGAGAGCAAAAGTTGATCAGATGTTGTTTGTCCAAGTACTGGAGAATATTGATCGCCTGTATTTAGAATAAAATCTGGTAAAAGTTGGGAGGGTAAAAACAGCAGAAGCTCAGTTGTTTGGAGAGGATGGGGTGAAAGGTGTCGGGGTAATGAAGCGGAGCAGCTGACAATAACGGGCTTCAGGTTATTATTGTTTTCCTTGTCATTGATTTTATTTAATCAGCTGTAATTATAGACAAAGGTGTTGCAGTAAACCTAATAAATATCCCATCATCCCCCACTCCCCCCTCAGGTGGCTTCATTATTGGCCCCCGCTCCGTTCCCCCCCCACCCCCCAGCTTGTTTATAATAAAGTTTATTTCTGACTAAAAGGACGTCACTTGTTGGAGTGTTATAACCTGCCCCCTCCTCAGGGAGAACTTGTTTTTAGGTAACCGCCTTAGAGCACATTTTATGTCCTCCTTCAGTTTATTGTTTGTAATGAACAAAATGGGGGGTTGAAGTCCCAATGTCCCCCATCACTGAGGGATTTTAACAGCGACTGTAGTTTTCAAGATGAGTGTTTTCTGGATTAAAATTAAACAGGAAGTGAAAGTAAACCTAAATGTTTTTAGTGCAAGATATTCAAGAGGGCAGGAGTTACTCTGTGGAGAAGAACAGAGGTACGTCTTTTTTTTTTTTTCTTGTCTGAATGGAGGAATCGGTTTCATCCACAACCAGGTTGCAATGGTGGAGCCAGGGGGTGGCCAATGGTGGCCTTGGCCACTAAAGATTAATCTTTGGCCACCCCTCTGGCCACCTAAATCATTTGGGGACATTCAGACATTTGGGGAGGACATTTTGCCGAGACGTTTAGGCGATGTAGAACTAGGTTTCCTGAAATGATCAGGGTGTTCAGTTTACACATGGTGGTGCCATCTTGGATTTTAGCGTGGCAACCTTGGTTTTGATAGACATTTTTTTATGCATTTATCCATGAACACTTCAAATTATAAGTGGGTACCTCACTTATTTTACGAGGTATCACGCTCACAACGTGCGCGGACATACGAATGGTCTGAGAGTGTTTCCAATCCCTCCTCTCTGCTCCACGAAGTGGGACAACAAACTCTTATTTTCAGGCAAAATAAGAAATAGGAGTCTTCTTAGACTCTGACCCAAACTCTGAGACTCGTCTCCAATCGATTGTCACCTGGAAAAGATTTTCAGAGTACAACCAGTCGTCTCCGTTAGGTCTTTCTAACTACTTTCCACGTCTCTAGAGTGGCTGCTTGTTGCACTCAGGGCTGATTTTAGGATTTTTAATGGTCTTAATCCATCATGGTGATCAGAATTGTTCTTACTATATGAACCCTCAGGTCTTCTGGAACGAGCTCGTTAATTAACCCTCATGTGTGAAGTAAAACACGCGGCGAGGCCTCGATTTATCGTTGCAGTCCTGGACTCTGGACTGAACTACCAGATGACCCGAGGCTAGCTGAGAGTGGATGTTTTTACGAGTAGAATCCTGTCCTCCAGCAGATCTTTGTGCTGGTTGTGCGTCTTTGATGGTTACACTTCTTACATTTATTGTTTTCAGTTTAGATCTCTAATTTTCTCTGTTTGAGTCTTTGCTGGAAGTCTAGGCTGAAACAAAACCTCGGCGAGTGTCCAACATGTTTCCTGTGAGCCTCGGACGTTTAAAAAGTTCAAACGGGAAATAAAAACAAATTAAACCTGATGGGGAATTTGAATCCTCGGTTCACAATTAACTCTGCCAACAAGGTGGGTCCTGTCGGGATGATTGCCAATTATCTTTTTAAAGCTCTCAGCCTGATAATCAGCATGAGTTAATTAGGAAGGCAGGATGAAGCCACATCGTGTCCTGCACAAACAAAAACATAAAAATAAAAACTACCAGTGTGTCGGTTAAAAACCATAATCGCACCAAAGAAAGACTGACGGAGCAAAATGAAGACGGAGTCATGGAGGTAAATGACGCTTCAAAGATGAACTTAGAAGAAAAAGAGACGAGCAAGTTATTTTAAATTTTTTGGACATTTTTACTCTGATCTCACCACGTTCAGCCACATCACAACCATGAACGATCCAAAAACAACAAACTACAGACAAACACTGCACTTTGACCTCCAGCGTTCTGCACCTGAAGTTTGTGGTTTCACCCTGACGACGTGCAAAGTTTGAGGGTCATAAAAGTTTTGCAAGGCACCTCAAATGGCATTTCTGAGCATTGTATGGTCTGATGTTGGGGTGAAGTTGCTGGAATGCCCACTAATGGAAAGATTGATTGGATGTTTTGCACTTTCTTTCTGTAGAATTATGGACAAGATGTTACAAATGGTCCTAATCCCTTCTCAGGTTAACGAGCAGCAACTCTCTGAAGTCATTGCTGATGTCTTTCTGCCCTGGCGTTTTGTTAACACGCCTGATTGCTCCAGTTCTTCTGCTGCTTCCAACTTGCTGATGTTCAGTTCATCACAATATTTGATCGGCTGCATGCGGCTGCTGTCAGCTCCTACACAGAGTGGAGTTAGTTTTTCACACAGCTTCTGTCGTTTAGTGTAGTTTTTGTTGAACGGATAATAACACCGTGGTACCCATCATGTTCTCCATCCTCCGAGGCATCACTCCCCGCATCCTGACCAGCTGCATCAGCGTGTGGTTCCTGTAGCACAAGCAGCAGGAGAACCCTGCAGCGCAGAGTGAATGCAGCAGAAAGGATTATCTGCGCCTCGCTCCCACCCTCCTGGAAACTGACACCAATTAGGTCTGCAAAGAGCTCAGCGTCGCAGATGAGTCTAAAACACATTGATTGGGGGGGGGGGGGGGGGGGGCGCAGTCCACAGGGCTGAGACACTAAAGCAAACCAGCAGGCTGTGAGACGGCAGAGACGTTCTTCTTCTGTCCTCTGCTCACCTGAAGACCGAGCTGAAGACCCTGCTCTGAGCTGCACTTCCTGTTTGTGTTTCAGGTTTAGTTGATCAGAAACATGAAACTGTGCACGTCAAACATGAAACTGTGCACGTCAAACATGAAACTGTGCACGTCAAACACTGGAGGGTCGCTTCACATGTAGGACCATTTGGAAGGAAACTAACTCAAAGCTAAACAAACAAACAAACAAACACACTCACTCACTCACTCGCTCGGTATGTTTACACGGACATAAGTAACCGGATCAAATGGCCGGTCAGAATAAAAGTGTGTCATGTAAACGCTCCGTTCTGGTTATTTTTTGTGTATTCGGCGCGATCCGTTATAATTTGTGATCAGAACGAAACGGGT